AACCCCAAAACCCCACAAAGGGTGTATTCAAGATTTACTTCTAAATTGGTAAAATAATAGCATAATAATAGAAATTGAAGTTACTTATATTTTCCTTGAAATTAAATTAAATATATCGCTAATTGTAATAATACATCTTAAGATGAATCGTAACTTTTCGCTGCCATCAATAAAAGCGAATTTGTAACAGGATAGTTCCATTCACAATACGACTGTTACGACATAAATATCAATGTCGTAGATACGGAATCCCCATCACCTTTCTAATAGTTCTTACTATCAATCGCAGTCACCTCATGTAGAATCTAAAACTACTACAACTGGATCTTTTGCAGTTGTTAGAGGATCGGTCCCCACCAAAGTTAACATGGGGCAAACTAACTATAGCACAGCAGCTACTAAAATGGTAATAGTTGACGAGTCACCAAGTGGCTTGCAAACCAAGATGACTAATTATATTGGATTTTTCAGGAAAAAATGCCAGGAAGAAGCTGAAAAGAAGAGGTAAGAGGTAAATAGCAGAGATACCATGTACAGATTCTACTCAAAAGACACCGATAAGATCAAAAGACTTGCAACTCCTGGATATGTTGGAGTAGATCCGACCATAGTATATTACAAAAAATACAAGAACTTAGACAAAGAAATGGAAAGAGATCCTAATGGCTATTCTGCTTCCACTGCCTATATATCCCAAATAAAATCCTTGAAGGTTTTACCTTCTCCTATTGGATTAATATCCCCAGAGCATAGGGGAAAAGAGGGAACTATTAGAGCTAATAACATGAAAATGGGAAATACCTATGCTCTTGCATTATCCAACTCAATGAAGCATCTATCCAATACTATTGCTGTCGACATTCCAGGTAATAGACTTGGTAAAAAAGGAGGAGAAGCTATTTTAGGCAGCCTCGTTGACAGAGTAAGGACAATAAACGTAGATAATAATAAAATTGGACCAGATGGAATGGTGAATTTGGTAAGATGGATAGATAATCTAAATTAAAACTGCCAACTTGAAGAATTAAGTCTCGAAGGTAACATGATAGGAGATTAATTTTGTGTCGAACTAATGGAATGTCTTATTAGAACTCTTCCTCCTGTAAGAGATCTAAACATTTCTAGGAATAACATTGGTGATAGAGGGGCATGCTCTTTAGCAGAATTCATTTCAACCCACTATTACCTTAAAACCTTGAAAGTAAGTTGGAATAAAATTAAAAGTAAGGGAGGGATAGCTATAGCTGAAGCTTTGAAAGAAAATATGAGAGTAGTTGTCTTTGACGGCAGTTTTAATTTATTTGGACAAAAGAGAAATGGTGAGTTTGGACAGAAAATGGGAGATGCTTGCAATAAGGGTATTTTAAGGCATGTTGATATATCTTACAACTCAATGGACAAAAATGAGTGCTAGAAATTCGGAGAGGTTATTTATAATAATCATACTGTGTGGGGACTTCATATAATGGGCAATGACTGTGTGCTTGATTCATTAGGCTTTGTCAGAACAACAATTAAAAATAAAATCTAAACAAGAGATATTCTTCACTCTCCCTTAAGGGAAGGAAATAATTTTTTGAACTCAATTCATAAAGCAAGAAATGCTAAGATTATGTCATATTAAATGTGCTGGATCTGCGAGGGATGGAGTGAATTGAAGTTTGAATGGAAAGTTGGAAAATCTGGATCAACTTCTAAAGAACCAGTTTATATTCACTTTGATTTCGATGAGTACAGACCTTGGCTAATGGATAAGGATGATGATAATGGCTCATTTGTACTTTGGAAAATGATTCCTCCTGGTAAAACTCATTACTTCTATTCTTTTGGAGGAGAAGGAGGCTATGGTGATGCAGCTAAGGATCAGCATCATATTAAGCTTTAGAATATAAAGCATGTGAGAGAAATAAAGTTCACGGAAATCGATGGCGAAACTTAAAAATAGGTTGAGTATTATAATAACTATGAACTGAGAAGTATTAATTATGCCATTGGAGCTTAAGCAAAGATCCTTGACCATGAATATGAGCCAGTTAAGCTAAAAGTAATGAAACCAAGACTCTATGACAAGATATACACAAGACCAGTTAATAAGAGACCAAGAACACCTTGGACTTTCCCAATATCAATATTTAAAGATTACCAAATCGAAAATGATACTAAAATTAACGAATGCTTCGAATATGACTGGGCACAAATGAAATTCCCGAAACTCACTGATGATGAAATGAATGGCGTAAAAGAGGAATTAAGAAAGGCATATAAAACAATGTAAGATTAAGGATGTATAATTTTATTTTTAGCAAGGAAGCTTATAAATATCTTTCATCAATAGGGTCAAATGGTTCTGTCTTTTCGATACTTCTTAATTGTTACACTGATTTTGTAAAGCAAATAGGAATTCACGATGGTAAAATTATCAACGCAACTACAAGTGATACCGAATTTCTCTCAATTAATAAAAGAACGAAACCTTCAAATTTAAATCCCGGTCTTGCTCTAGTAAGATTTTAACTCATGGAAATCTTAATGAGGCTGGCATTTAAGAGATATGATGAGAGTAAATTTCATTTTTATTTTATAACTGTTTTAGCCAAAGAAGCAACTTCAAAGCCTGAAGCTGTGAGATTGATGCATGAGAAGAATCTTCTGCCATACTACGGTGAGCTTAATCCTTAAAAATGGAGAGAGGAGAGATACTGGAATGAAGAAGTTGATAATATCTATAAGTCTCATTTCCCAATATTTGATAAGATCTATAAGTAATTTGGGTGCCACTATTTGAAGCCAGGAGACAAGCCTTTCATGATGGTTGATGAATTTGAAAACATATTCATATCTTCTGGGCTGCTCAATGATAACTTTGTTGGTAGAGATTGCTATATATCTTTCAATGCTGCTATGATAACTCAAGTTGATGAGCTAAATAAGGATCGTCATCTCAAGGCTTAATTTGTCGAATTCCTCGAAGCTTTCGGCAGAGCTTGTGACAAGATGTCATTAGCACCTCCTTTAGATGAAGCAGTAAGCCTATAGCTATTTTATTAACTGTTTTAGACTGATGAGCCACCAATGAGTGATGCAGAGAGAATGGAGCAACCACTTTGCAAGAAAATTGAGAACGTATTACCAATAATTTATGCTAACTGCATGACCAATGGATTCAAAGAAAAGTGGAAGTGGCCTACAAGAGATCCAGACACAGGTTTATTCAAAGATAAATATTGTAAGCTTATATTATAACTTAATCATATCACAGTCAAGAAAAAGAAGAAGGAGACAACTAGGGGTGATATAGGTGATTTGCTTGATGAGTCCCCAGATAAAGAAAGAGGGATATTTGATTTGTGATAAATATAATTATTAACTTATATTTACTGTGTCAACCAGCTTAATATTCATTTTGTTTTTATTTTTCAAATTAAGTGAATTTCTTACTTCATGGGGTTTTGGGGTTTTGGGGTTTTGGGGTTTTGGGG